ACACCCATATCCACTCTCATACCCACACACCCACCCCCACACCCACCCCCACCCACACCCACACCCACACCCACACCCACACCCACCCACACCCACACCCACCCACACCCACACCCACACCCACACTCACACCACACCCACACTCACACCACACCCACACCCTAGATAATATTACAATGTTTACAAAATTAAATGATTATAATAACGAGGAAGTATTGAAAAATCCTTTATTAAATTTATATTGTAATGAAATGTATTATAAACACAAAGGAGTCGACAATAAAATTTATGAACGAACTGATGAATCTTTATTATGTTTTGCAAAATTACAAAAAGAACTTCCACAACTATGTGTTTTATTAAAAAGTGGAAATAATGTTGTTAAACGAATACAAACGAAAATAATTAATGATGAAGTTTGTTTATTAGATATACTGAAGTTTTTATCAGTGAATGCAAATTATTTAGTACCTGAATGGTTAAAATTATATCAAATATTAACTACTTTACCTATTGGATCTAATGAATGCGAAAGAAGTTTCAGTGCATTAAAACGAATTAAAACCAAATTACGAAATAGTCTCTCATCCACAGCATTAGAAACGGCCGTGAAGTTTAGTATTTTAAAACCGGATGTTACTGATAATGATTTAGATGATATTGTTCAACATTTTTGTATGCATCCAGGAAGAGCAAAAGCTCGTAATATCAAGATATACAAGCACGAAGATAATGATGATGATGATGTTAATGATAAATAATAATTAAAACCTAATACTCTATTCAAAGAATATTATTTTTGAAAATATTTATATGTATTTGTATATAAAAAATAAACTTGTTTTCATTTTTCTGAATTTCTTGCTCAGCTTTATATGCACAAACAACAACGAAGAAAATAACGATCTATTGAATAACGCTGTTTTGAAAGCATCATCTAATACTACATTTTAGCGTAAAAAACGAACGTAAAAAAACGTTCTCTTTCACTTTGGGAGACTTTCTCTCTGGAATTTTTCCCCCTCTGAGCAAAACTAAACGAAAGCTATGCTTGTCATACTTAGTGATTTGCAGTGTCCAACGTTCTTAATATTCATACAGGTATTATATAACTATTCAGAAGTGTGACTCCGATGTTGAGAGAAAAACATGTCCTACATTCCCTCCATTATAAATTCGACTGTTGTTTTTGAACATTCTGTATATTAGCGTGTTATTCCGACAGTTTTTACTCAGACTGAAGTGTATGTGATACCGTAGCTCTGACTGATTCCTAGGAATCCTACAACAACCACTCCAGTTCTAAATCCTATAATGGAGAACGAAGCTGAGCATTGTTACTTCTACAGGGTTTTCTCATGCGTTTTTGACACTTTATCCTTCAGATCGATACAAAGACAGATTTTTTCGTGCACCTCATGTCCTTTTAATATTGTAGCTCTCACTGATTCCTAGTGATCCTAAACACCTCATCTCAGTTCTAAGTCGTGTAGTAAAGAACGAAGGTCCACAAGGTAACTCCTACACTGTAAAAAAAAAAAAAAAAAAAAAAAGGAACTGTACGGAACCTCAAAAAAAGGTTCGGTAGATGACAAAAAGCTTGCAAATGGGTTCAAAGTTTCAAAGAAAGAATAAAAAAAAACAAGGAACCTTTA